TACGATAGGGTTTCATGGCCATTTTTTATTCAGGTGTTAAGAAGGTTTGGTTTTTGTGAAGCTTGGATTGATATGATTTGGAGGCTAGTTTCGAATGTGTGGTTCTCAGTTATTGTAAATGGGTCGCCCCAAGGCTTCTTTAAATCTAGTCGTGAGATTCGTCAAGCAGAACCAATCTCACCAGGCCTTTTTGTTTTGTGTGTTGAGGTTCCCTCCCGTAGTCTAAATTCCTTGAGTGGTCGGCAGGGATTTGTGCCTTTTAGGGTTCTGAAGGGATGCCCGATTGTCACGCACTTAGGCCTTGTTTGGATTGTCTGTTTCCGTCGAAAAATTACGTCGTTTTCCGTGATCACATTTCCCTATTACCTTTTTTCCTCACATACATCAAATTGCTACAGTAATTTTTCCATGAAAAATCACGGAAAATGCAATCCAAACACAACCTTAGTTTATGGAGACAATATCATTATCTTTTCAAGTGGCATGAAAAGATCGCTACAATTGGTTATGAAGGTGTTGGAGGATTATACGTCGATATCGGGACAAAAGGTGAATCACAATAAAAGTGGTTTTTTGTCCCATGCTAGACTGTCGGATTTACGAAAGCGTATTGTGGCACAAGTCACTGGGTTTTCGATCCCAGTCCTTCCCGATGACGTATTTAGGATTCCTACTATACTCGGGAAGATGGAAAAAGAGCTATTTTTCAGCGATTTGTACTTCAGTTGCAAGTAGGGTGTTGTTGTGGAAGGAGAGACTATTGTCATCCGGTGGGAAGTTGGTGCTGATACGGAGTGTGCTGGCGTCCATGCCGATCCATACTTTTGCTGCCTCCAACCCTCCTAGAGAGATATTTGGCATGTTGGAGCAAATTTTTGCTGATTTCTTATCGGGTTCTTCTGATTTTGGAACGCGGTTTCATTGGATTAAATGGAGTCAGCTATGCAAGCCTTATGAGGAGGGAGGTGTGGGTTTTCGGTCTCTGCAGCATGTGTTTGATGCCTTTTCTTTGAAATTATGGTGGAATTTTAGGCTGCGACAATCTTTATGGGTTGAGTTCATGCACTTGAAGTATTGACCAGATGTGCATCCTTGTTATTCAGATTTTTCTCCAGGGCAATCACCCACTTGGTAGAGGATGTTGAACGATCAAGTGGTAGCGGAGAAGCTTATAAGATGGATGCTGGGCAGTGGCTCTTCAAGTTTTTGGCATGACAATTGGTTGGGGACAGGACTGCTGTGTAGGCAGGTGGAATCTTTTCAAGAGCACTCGGCTGCAGACTTTGTCATGGAAGGCAGGTGGGAGGATTTGCAGCACTTAAATAGGGTGTTGCTGTCGGGATGGGTGCAGCAGGTGATTGGTGTGGCTCCACCTACTTCGGCGAAGGCGGATGAAATGATCTGGGTCCCCAATAATTCGGGTGAGTTTACTATTTTGTCGGCATATCAGATAGTGCGTAAAGGTAGTAATGTTTCCAGAATGTTTGCTTCTTTGTGGCATCAAGCTTTGCCATCAAAAATTTCCTTCTTTATGACGCTATTGATGTGTGGTAGGTTACCGTTGATGGATGCGTTACACAAGTTTGGGGTACTGGGCCCCTCTAGATGCTTTTGTTGTAGTCTGAACAGGTCCCCATAAACTATTAGCCATATTTTTTGTATGGGGGAGATGGCTAAACAGGTTTGGGGTTGCTTTGAGGGTCTCATTGGCGGGATTAGAGAGGCTTTCATAGTTAGACATAAGGTGATGAGTTGGTGGGTAAAACCTGCCCTTACTTCTTACCTTGGTTTTGTTCTCCGCACTTCGCCATCTTTAATTTGCTGGAATTTATGGAAGATGCAAAATATGAGGATTTTTGAAGGTAAGCTAGAGTCGGTAATGCATGTTTGTGATCGGATTTTCTTGGAGCTAAGAGTATGTTTCTTTCTTCAGTTTCAGGAGATATCAATGCCTTGTAATTCACAGACTGGTTTTTTTGATATGATAGCTAGGCTGCGCAACAAGGTTCTCATATTGGAGGTTTGTTGGAAATGTCCAAGTCAGTCGGTGGTGAAATTGAATACCGATGGTTGTTCAAGGGGTAACCGGGGAGGAGTGGCGGTGGGGGATTGTTTAGGGATTATGATGGGAGATTCCTGCTTTGGTTTTTTGTGTTATTTTGGGGAGACTACAAGCCTTCATGCAGAGTTGAAAGCTCTTCTTTTTGGTGCTCGATTAGGTGTATCCCGTGGATTAGTTAAGTTGCATCTGGAATCTGATTCACTGGTCTTGGTCCGTATTTTTTAGGGGAAGGTTAGGTGTCCATGGCAGTTGCAGAGGGAGTTACAAGATCTGCTGCAATATAGACGGTATTTTGAAGCCATTTCTCATTGTTTTTGAGAGGCAAACAAGCCGGCGGACAGATTGTCTACTGTTGGAGTGGAGGATCGATGTACTACAATTTATGAGGCCTATATTGAATTACCTAGGATGGTGAGGGGAGATATTACTTTAGATGCATCTAGTTTTCCAAATTTTTGTAGATGCAGGAGGTAAGGGCTGGTGTTTAGAGGTGGTCAGGGCATTCGATCTTGTAATCCTGTGGAAGGCTTAGATCCTGACTTTGTAATTTTTCGGTTACATTAATAAAAAAAATAATGTAAATTTGGATCATATGTGGTATAATTTATGTTTTTATGATATGCAAAAGATGTGTTAGTGGTTAATTTTTGAAAGCATGTTTATGCTCCTTGACTACCCTCCTAGTAGGGCCTAAATGCTAAGCTGATTACTCAGTTTATCCGTTTAGATATGAAAATTTGAGTTATGACGGAATAAAGCCAATGCACGAACAAAGTTTATAGCAAGAGTTTTATGACACTCGCGAAAAGAAAGTTATTTTTTTCTTATTGATGTAAATCTGCCCCTGCTACTTAGCATGGGATTGCAAATTCTTTTGGATTTCAAGCTGCGGTTCAAAATGAACTTTGACGGTGCGGTCTTCATAGATTTACAGGCTACAGGTGTTGGAGTTGTTACGCGAGATAATGAAGAAAGATTCTAATGTGGTATGTCCAGATTGATTTATTAGCATTATTCATCCTGAAATTGCTGAAGCTCAAGCTTTCAATGAAGCATTGGACATGGCTTGTATAAGAAGATATCTGTCAGCTACCTTTGAAGGGGATGCATTTAATGTTATTGAAGCTGCTAAAAATTATGCAAAGAATTAATCCTCAGTGACTGGTTCTATCACAGAGGATGCTTAACACGAATCACTCTCTGAATAACATTTATAATATGAGTTCAGAATGGGTGCATGTGGTTACATGTGGTATTAATGGAATACCTATAGCAGCTTAATGCTCCAAATTCTCTTCAAAGTAGTTTTAAGGCAGAATTTTCAAGTACTTCTCAATAAAATTTTTCATCAAAGGAAAAGAAAAGTCAATTTTTCATCAAAGAATAAAAAAATTAAAGCTCGCTTTAAGGGACATGAATGCCAAGAGTGCCACATGACAAAAAAAATGCATTACAGTAATTACCCTTCTCTTTTTGTACAATAAGAGTGCCATGTGGAAAAGTAAATACGTTACCATAATTATCCCTCTCCTTTTTTCCCTCTCCTTTTATATAGTAGGTAGACATGACCCTCTCTTTTATATAAGATAGATATGACCTTGAAATCAACTTTTAATTTTGTTGTAGAGTCCTAGACAACTAGGTTATAATTCGAACCTTAAATTTATGATACATGTTAAGATTCACGTCAGTCATTTTTTTTTTTTTTTGGGTGTGAGGATTAACAGTTCAGCTCATTTTGTTTAATTTTCTTGTTCCTTCCATGCACTTAACTTTGATATTTATTCCATATTGTTTTTCACATGATTGCACTGAATGACTTTTATTGCAACTAAGAAAATATTTTAATTGTGGATTATGAGGATATTACTGACAAAAAAAATCATCAAGAAATCTATATTCTTTCACTTTCTGTTAACTTTCCCTGCATTCAAAGACTACCTTAATCATCAAGATTTCATTTGCCCAAGGAAGAAACAACTTTTAGGCATAGTTATTAAACCCAGCCCGAGGAGGAACCCGGTGAAAGAAATGGGTCAACGGGTTATTGATTCAACCGGTGAGTGAGTGGTCCAACCTGTAGGTCACTACATATATTTAAATATTATGTTTTATAATTTTTTATGTCATAATAAATATTCAATTAGTTTAATTTATTATAGATTCATTAGTTTTTATAAGAATTAACAACCTAAATTTAATTAGTAATCCATCAAATTTCAAGTATAAAATTTTATTTAAGTGTAATTATCTAGTTTATTTATGAATTTTAAGTGCAAAAGTTTATTAAGAATAATATTTGCCATTAAAATGATTTGTGTAATATGTTATTTTTAAGTCAATTTCATAATTTATAGAGTTCAGGGAATAATAAAAATATTATTAAAAGATTCCAAATAAATTTTGTTTTGGAGAATTAAAATACTAATAAACTCTAATATATAATATAAGAACAAAATAAATAACAAATGGTTGGTTGGTCTAGTGGTAATGGTAGTCTACTTCTTTGCATCAGGTCATGTGTTTGAATCTCCATTCTAGCAATGTTTATAACATTTTTTCATAGACCGGGTTCCTTATAAAACCGACCGGTTCAATCAAGTTGATCGGTTCAACCGTCGATCCGTTGAAAAGTCAACGGATTCAATACAGAAACGATCTTATTAAGAACTCGGTCCGGTTTCATGCCCGGTTCACCGGGTTGACCGGTTGAATTGTCGGACCGGATCGGGTTTAATAACTATGCTTTTAGGTCTATATTTCTTCGATTTAGGCAGCATTTTTTTTAATCTTTTTTTTAGGCAACTTATTGCTGCATTGTTTCCGTCCCTGCATCTAATCCAAGAAAAGCTGCAAAAAAATTACACGAATGGGAAATGTATCAACATTCATCAAACCAGCTAGTCAAAAAATTGTAAGAAGACAAATCAATATCAAATGAGGGAAAACGATTCTGGTGAAGTATGCCTGAAAACATAGTATACAACATAGTACTTTATTCTCCGTACAAATTATCCATGTCTATGAAGTTGATAACTAACTGTTGATTTAAACTGACTACAGGCTACATAAGTTAGTGATGTGAAGATGGCAAAGGGGTGTTCGAAAGAAAATGGGAGAAGAGAGAAAGGGATTGGTCAGGTGCGAACATCGGGACTTGGTGACCCGCTCCTCTCACAGTCAGGAAAGTGAGACCACCCTCCACATAGGTCTCCACCCACCCTGCCACTTGCTGCTTGTGGTACCAGGCTCTCCATTCTTCTTTTACCTTCAATCCCATCTCATTGATGCTGTACCTTGTTGATGTTACTGGCACTCTTCCATCTGTATCGCCACTGGATTTCAAGTGTTGTCAGGGCTAAAACTTAGTATTCATGAATCACAAATTGTAAGTATAAACTAAAATTATTGCACTATCAGCAAAGATCTTGACTCCGTTATTGATTCTATTCATACCATTATTAACATGTTTGATGAATCTCGTAGGATCATGAGACCTAAATATTGGACACAGAGTCGCATGTTTGCCTTTAAATGCAGGTTTTGAAATGACATTTAGATACTTATATGGATGAAATTAGGGAGAAGGAAACGAAAGATTCAAGATTTCGTACCTAAAATTGTTGATAAATAATTACTATTATCAACTTAGAGTTTTACAGAATCTACGATATTTACGTATCGTGATACTTCTAACTGGCTAGGGAGTACAACAATCCACATCCCAGTGCTAACTCACAAAGGTAAGACTGATATCAAAGGGATTGGGGCAGGCTAGGGTTTTATTTCTTTTACGATATGAAGAAAAAAGAAAAAAAAAAAAGATATGACAAACATCCAAATAATATTGTTTTCATACATTGAAAATTATTACGTAAAACAACATTATATACGTGTAAAGGAGTGATTTGGCTGGAGAGATGGTTTCTAAAGGAGTGATTTATGGTCCAAATATTTTAAGACCTAAAGCTATGTGGTTAGACTGAAACCAACCAATATATATTGGAACGCAAAACTGCAATTATATGTTCCTGGATTTGGTTCATCTTTTTAATTTGGCAAATAGGTAGGTTAGGGTGGAAAAAGAGTTGAGAGTAAGGTAACACACCTGAACACCCAAACACGCAATCCAGTATTTAAAAGCTTCCTAATGATGGGTAATACAGTGTCCGGAGCGTCATTCCACTTTCGAATTATATTGCTGTGATCACAAACACAAAAGACAACAGATGAAACTCCTCTCACAAGCCCCAAAAAGGAACAAAAAGCTTATAAAGAGAAAGGGCAAGATGCAATTTCCGGAATCCTTAAATTTGAAACTTTGTCATTATATTGGTCCCTTAGCATTTAACGTCTCGAATTTCATCTTGAGCATTGACCATGCACTGTGAGTGTAGTTCAGTTTGACTAATCAATTGGTTCTTATGACCAAAATAGACTTATCATACAAGCCATACCTTTCATACACCAAAAAAATATATTAATCTTGTATATACTTATAATATATTACACTAGCATTCTTGGATACATGTCACTTAATTTGAACTTGAATTTGCACTTCATGTTTTGCATATGTGGCACTCTCAGCATAAATAACAAATATAACAGATCATAAAATGTGGAAAAGTCTCTAGTGGTTGAACCAATATGTGGAAAAGCCCCCTATCATAACAAGTCATACATTCCAACCCTCATGATTTGAACTAATATAAAACAGCGAAGGAAATCATCAAAAGTAATGGGAGCAAACGAAATGATACAATTACCCTAATATATATATATATATATATATATATATATAAACAATAAAACGCCCTCTAACAACCATCCTAATTAAGCAAACTTATGAAAAAATCCCCTGTAATTAAGTCTACATGTAGAACAGCCCCCCTATGGTGGCTAATTGCCACAATCACTCTTAACCTTCTGCTGCCACCCTCCCCTCCATCACCACCCTCCTCTATCTCCTTCCTCCTATCCCTTTCCCCTCTCTCTTCCTCCTATCTCTTCTTCCCTCCCCTTCATTACCACCCCTTCCTCTCCAATTATGGCCCCTTTCCTGCACCCTCTCTCCTCCATGCGAGGAGCGATCTGGTCACAACCCCTTTCCCACACACCTTTCCCTATATCCCACGACCATATTTGGTCACGGGAGAGAGAGAGTGGTGCTAGGAAGGGGGTGCAAGGAATGAGAGGGAGGGGAGTATAGGGGTAGGGAGGGAGAAGGAATGGAGAGGAAGAAGAAAGAGAGAGAGGGTGGTGGCGATGCAAGAAGAGGTGGCAGCGAAGGTGGAAAGTAATAGTGGCAAGAGATGGGGGTAGTAGTGGAGGAAGAAATGGATGGTATTTTATTTATTATTTTATGTATAGAAATAAGGTGAGTTATATTTGGAAGTTTTTATTTATTTATTTTTTGTGTAAAAATAATGTGAGTTATATTTGGGAGTTTTTGGAGTGTTTGTAAGATTTTTATTGAGTTCTAAGAGGTATAATAGTTATATAAGCTCAAAATCTGTTTGAAAAAAATTATTTTTCAGCACAAATACTTGCAAAACAAGTGCGAACATCTCAAATCCATTAATTTCGATGATAACCGTCGCTATTTCATATTAGTTCAAACCATAAGATATTGGAGTGTATGATTTGAAACTAATTATTGTAAGACATTCACAACAAAAGAACATTGTTAAGCACTTGAGTAATCACATAATAGTTGCAAAATGCTAGTTAATCTTCAGAGACAACAAAGACAGATCAAGGGTACCATTAAAATTTGTCACACATTCAACAAAAAGGAAGCTCCTGTTGGGATCTTTCTGAAAATTCCAAGTAAATGCTTGACCTTGAATATTGTCCTCATAAATGCTTTTTTTACGTACCAATGACTTTTGCACAATTATATAAATGATTTATGTGATTTTCTATCTTTAACCCTTTCTTAATTCGACATAAGAAGTGACCTATGCATGATTTCTATGAGCGAATCAATACTAGTCCACAAACTTGCATGGGGTATAGGGATAGGACAATTTGGTGAGGTTGGCATGCAGGGCCTTCTGAACATCTTCTCTGTTGAGATACGCCTCAACGTAATCTTCCGTACACGGATCGTAGCCCGATGGCAATTTGTGCCAAAGATCCTGAAATCAGATAGATACATATAATCACATTTTGTTTGGTTTAATTTGTGTTCTTGTTTGAATAAAAGAGTATTGGAGGAAGGACTTTATATGAAAGATTTCACCGATGGTTGCGAGTGGTAAAGAGCTGCTTTTTCGAATGTGAAAAATACTCAATTACCTTTTAAAACAGGATTAATTCCACAATACAACCACATAAACTTTTGAGTTATACTGAGTTTGCACTCCCAAATTTTATTTTATATTAGTGTTACTCAGTGTTATCAAGTTCACCAGCATTGCATCTCAAACTTATGCTTCCGAGTGCTTGGCACTTTAAAGGTGCATTCCAAATTACCATAATCCAACACAGAGCAATGGACGTATATATAGGAACGGTATGCATGTCAACTACAAAACTTTTCTTTTCAATGCTAAAAAATAGTATTAGTATTTCAAAATCTCAGAATAATGAGTCAAAGAATATATCTTTACCTATTTTAATAGAAATAAAGGTTGTTGACTGATTTTGAACATTGTATAAACTTTAGGGTGTAAATGTAAAGTGCTCAATACGAAAGTCCAAGGTGCAAAACTTGAATTGCTACAGTAATAGGGTGGAAAATCAAAGCAGTCCAAAATTATTCTCAATGAATAAAACAAGATAAAACCTGATACCTATGGATACTCGACTCGATGGTTAATCCAATTAGACGATTAATGGGTAATCCATTAGGGTTTTGTTTTGATGAGGAGTTACCAACAGATAACTCAAGAGACTTTGATAAGAGAATCCTAAAAATCCGATACCCGATACATATACATATGCATATAGACATATACATATGTGTAAATGTATAAGTGTGTGTATGTGTGTGTATATCGACAAATTAATACGCCTATAAAACTTGTTTATTCTTTTTAATTTGTATTCAGCTAGCAGACATTTTTATCTTGTAAACTATTATTTGTCATGCTTTCTATACAACTTCTTGCTGAAAAATGTGGGATAGTTGTTTGGATCCCCTATTGAAAGATTGCTAAATTTATCTTTCATAAAATGTTCAATTTTTCTGGCTCTATCTAAGGATGGCAATGGGGGCGGGTGCCCGCCCCGCGGGGGGCTCATGGGGTGGGGGTTGGGGCGGGGGCGGGGGCGGGGGGGAATTTTTTCCCCCCGCTTAGAAACGGGGCGGGGGTATACTCCCCCGCCCGCCACCCGCAAAAAAAAAATATATATATATATATATAAATGACTATATATTATATGTAAGTTAATTAGTTATAAACTTATGATAATGATATTATTAGTTAGATGTATTATATAATGTATATTAGTTTATGTAATATAATTGATATTATCAATTATATGAATAATTATACATGTCTACTAATAGAATTTATTAATTAGTTATACTAAATTTACTAATACATTTATACTAAATTTTTAATTACACTTAATAGAATAACACTTTTTTCTCAAAAAAAAGCACAAACACAATGATGAATTAGTGATTGCATTTGTACTAAAAGTGAAAATTTGACTATTTTAGTTATATTTATTTCATCATATTGGATTGTATTCAAATAACTTCTGTTTGATTGTTTTTATGAGTTTCAATTGTAAAATTACAATGAATAATAATTTGGTGATGTGTTGATATTTTAGTACTTGATTATTTATTAAAATTTAATTATAATAAAATTTTATTAACCCCGCGGGTGCCCCCGCGGGGGAAGCGGGGCAAGGCGGGGCGGGGGCGGGGGGAGCGGGAGGCGGGGGACGGGGGGAACTAATAGGCAACGGGGCGGGGGACGGGGGAGGGGTCCCCCGCCCCGTTGCCATCCCTAGCTCTATCCAAATTTAAGAAAAATTGAACATAGTGTGTTGATCTAACATGATGTGTATTTAATTTGATAAAAGCTAATTCTCTTTTTTTTTTTTGAATTATTCAGATTAAAGGATACTTAATTGGTAAATCGAACCTGAAATGAGAGAGTTAGATAATAAGAGTTAAACCCATAAGATTACCCGATAGTGTTTGGTAAAAGATTTAGATATGCGGGTTAAGATTTAATAAGAGAGATTTTTAAGGATACAACACCTATTGCCATTCCTAAATATAGACGAAGCCTCGCAATAATGGAACAGATTAACTGCGTGAATATTTAGACCCCACGTCTCCCCTAAAGGTCCTTTTGTTTTAGACCATGAATTTTTGCAGGGAGATACTACCAAGAAAAAAAAGAAACAATAGGAGGCTAAAGAGGGCCCAAGAAGCCTCAAGCACAACGGCCAAACCTATCAAACTTTCCTCTAAATCAGAATCTCTAAGTTCATCAAATTCTTCACAAACCTCTAAACGGGCAGGACAGCAGGCCATTACCATAGAAAACTTCACAATTAGCCCAAACCGATTCCAACCAATTCCCATTCCCAATCTAAACAAACCTCGATCCTTTTTAACTGCCTTCAATCTCTGGGGATATATTTACTAGGATTATAAATTAACATGGTTTTAAACTTTCTCCATCCAAAATCATTTTTGTCAACACTCTTGTTTGTTTTATTTTAAAGGACAAACAATTTATTTTATTTTAAAAAGACAAACAAATATGATTTTCCCACTTGGTTCGTTACTTGATGAAATTTTCACGGACCAAACTTAATAATTCTTCCTCTTGATGTAGAGTAGGGACTTCATATTTTTAAGCAAATGTTTAACCCTCCCAAATGACTATTCTCAATCTTTTCAAAGTAGAAGTTCAAGTTCAACAAACAAACCCAATTCTTACCACCGTTACTAGTCAAACAAGGCTGTACAAAATGCTTGGTCTTCTTCCATCACAACATATATTCAACCTTAGCATATTCAAGTGTGGTTCCAAATGAATCCCAAGACCATCGAATAAGCAAATTATCAAGCCTCACACTTTCTACAACCAAAAAACTGTATCAATAGCAAAATTGGCTTCCATTACCAACAAAGATGAATATTTCAAATAGCTTAAACAGATTCTACAACTACTAGACCAATCATAAACAAAGAACCAACCTAAATTATTAAAAAAATAGGCAGGCTAAAAAATCTTTAGACATTGAGGACAACCATAATAAAGTCCAACAAAACGAGGATGACTGTTATGAAATTTTCTCACTAATTTCATAAAAACAAACATTTTAGTAGTAATTTAATAGTAATACCAGAAGTTACTGTATAAATTCAATTGTCATTGTGCAAACACAATAAACAAAAGTGCACTATATAGTGTAGCAAGAACTAGAGTAACCACTATACTCTAAGCATTATAATGGGCACGGGTGTAAGTGAATCTAATCAAACTAGATACCCTAATATTCAAACTTGTTTAATTATCTTAACAAGTTTGAAATTTTGTTCAAATTTGGCTTGTTTGTTTATCAAAACCAAAATTTGAACGAAATTTTTATCGAATTTGGATGTTATCAAACATAAAATGATATTTAAATTTGGCTTGATTAGTTGGCAAACCAAATTCGAATGAGTTCTTACCAAACCAAGTTTGATTTGAATATCAAGTAGTTTGGTTCATTTTTCAACCCTAATAGTGGGTACTGTAGCAAAACAAAAAATTTTGTTATAAATACCTCTCAAACACTCTAGACTAGACACAATAATTTTGAACCATTTTAAACTTTCTAGTTGAAAGTTCTCCTTTCCCTCTCTCTAGAAAACTCTTGTATTCAAGAATCTTGATTTGGGTTCAACTTCAACCATTGTAAGCATTCTTGTTCAATAAACTTCATTGGCCTCACATTACAGTGTAAGATCTGTAGGATTTGTAGGATTATTGAGGTTCTTGGAGAAATTCAAGATGGCATATTGTTCTATATTTTGAGTCTAACCTACTAGATCTATACTATCTTTATTATAATTTGTTTTGGAAAATATAATGATTCACTATGGATCACAATGGATATTGTATCGTAGGGAAGGGAATTACTAAAAATCAATTTGTTTAAGTCTTTCCCTTATATTGCTTCATACAGGATTAGGGACTTGAGAAACTAAACAAATAGATAAGAGATAAAGGGAAGAAAGTGGCAGATGGACTACCTCTGGGAAAGGAAGCCTAGGCGGTTAAAGCAGTAATGTCAAAAATAGTAAACAGAACTATAAATAAATAACAGAATATAAAGGCGGCTTAGCCGACCAAAGATAGATAAAATAAGATTGAAAATTTATTGAATAAGAATACTTACAATGTTTGTAACTTGAATCCAAGTCAAGATTCTTGAATACAAGAGTTTTCTAGAGAGAGAGAGAGAGAACAATTTTTAATTAGAAAGTTTAGAATGGCTTAAAATTGGTGCGTCTAGTCTAGAGAGTTTGTGTGGTATTTATAGCAAAAATTTTCATTTTACTACAGCACCCGCAACAGTGTTCAGTGCATTTTTGTTTGCTGCATTTGTATAGTAACTACCAAATTTGTACTGTAACTTCCGGTATTGCTATTACATTACTATTACAATGTTTGTTTTTATGAAATTTGTGAGAAATTCTATAACTGTCATTCTCATTTTGTTGGACTTCGTCATAGCTGTCCTTAGAGTTCGAAGATTCTTCTGCTTGCCTATTCTTTGATGATTCAGATTGGTCCTTCATTTGTGATTGGTCTAGATTTTACAGCACCTTTTCAATTGTTTGATATATTCATCTTTATTGGTAATTGATACCAATTTTGTTGCTGATGAGGTTTTTAATTGCAGAATTTGTAAGACATGAAGATTTGCTTGTTTTGATGGTGTTTGGATTCCTTTAGGACCTTGCTTGAATATGCTAAGGTTGAATATAAGTTATGATGAAGGAGGACTGCTATTTTGTATAGCCTTGTCTAACTAGTAACAATAGTAAGGACTGGGTTTATTTGACGAACTTAAACTTTCTAGAAGGATCAAGCTATTAAAATGATTGAGAAATAGTGTAGCAAAACTAGGATCTAGCTGTTTGGGGATTATACTTTTGTTTAAAAATTTGAAA